CTTTAACGGCCAGTATGGTCTATAGTCACCTTGCCCCAACCCCTGCCACCATCACACTCCCACCTGAGGAAGTCCAAGGCAGGCCCTCTTCCGTGTGGGCCCCACTTGGCCGCAGGGTCTCAGACTGGTCTCCCAATGGCAGTCAACTCCTTTGCAAACGTGGACAATGACCTAGATTTCACCTAGCAAGGCGACATGAAGAGCAGGTGGGTGCCGTTAGCTCCCAGCGGAGCCAGGGCCCACAGAATGTAAACATCCGTCCTACCGCAGAGGTGCCCCGACATCTGGGAAGCACATGGCAAAGGCAGGTTCTCCAAATGAAGGGCTGAGGATGGTCACCTCACTCCTGCTGTGAAGGCTGCAAGTTCTGGAGGCAGACATCCACACACGGGGGCATCCCAAACCATCCTTTACTCTTCCCGACCTTCCCGAGAAAGCACCATGATTCTCTGGGAATGCTCGGGTGCAGGAACATGACATGATGCGGGCTATGGGCACTGGAAGGCGCATTATTTCCACTTTTCAGACTCGTAATTATTCTGCAGGACCAAATGGAAACATCAGTCAGTCCCTCCAAAAATTGATCGAGGGCATGTACTCGTACCGTACGTAGAAATGTTTCACCATCAGCTTTATGAGTGTTCCAGTGTCCAAACAAATCAGCCCAGATGAGATGAACAAGAGAACGCCAGTGTGGGACAGGATCCCTGCCGGTCTGGGCATGACTGTGAGCTGGTTCAGTCAATGGAGATTTCCTGGCTCAGTAAAATCAAAGTCCCTGCCCCTCCAGGACCTTACGGGGCATCCTGGGCCCTGGAGAAATAGGCACCACCGAACAGTCTCAACTGCTATTATTGGGCAGGGAAATTATGGGAGTATCAGTTACACTCTGTGTAATGATATTTACAATGTCTAATTGTAATGAGACATCCTATTTTGCATGAGGGAAGCCCCATGTCAACCCATTAAAATCCTGCAATCTGTGTGCATTTATGGAGATGCAGTACGTTATAAACGATACTACAAATATTCTTCTCATTTCTCCTTGCAGTCCCATCTTCTTAGTTTCTGATTTTATTTAAGAATTTGAAAAGCTCATTTTTCTTTGCTGATTTTTTGTAAGGATTTTAAGTAATGACCACATCAGATTCCTGGAAAACAATTGTACGTATACCACATCGTATAGATACCAAAATGCCTCTTTACAAATATTCTTAACATCTACCCTCTGTCTGTTCTCATTATCAACAGCTGGCATCCTAGGTTGCTTCCTGAAGCTCTCCATCTGGACCGTTTGGCATGGCCAGCAATCCCAAAATGTGGCTATCAGACGTGCGAAATGTGGCTAGTCTGAGCTGAGATGGGCTTTGAGTGTAAAGTAAACATACATTTCAAAGACTCGGTATCAAAAAATCAATGTAAAGTATCCCAATCGTTTATATATTGACGGCATTGAGTGACAGTATTTTGGATATGCTAGCATAGAAAAAAAAATGTACCATTCAAGTTCATTTCATCTGTATGTTTTGTTTTTTTAGAGTTGCTACTAGAAAATTTTATGTGGTTCTATTTGTCTTGGTGCTGCTCTAGACCACAGAGTTCCTTGTGTTTTAAAGAGAATGAGACCATCTCTTGTGCTCCTAATTTCAGTTATTTATGAACTAGATAATCTTCCCTTTCCAGGAGCTGAGATGCGGTTTAATACTTGTCACTCCCCTCCTTCAAAATCTTGTCCTGGTTCATAAACAACTCAATCCCCTTTTCTCTTCTGTAAATGGCACTTGAGAGGTGAAATTACTACCTAGATCACAGCTGACTGCTACCTTATGTCAACAAACACATAATCCAAAAGGGTATTTTCTGTTTGAAAGCACAACAGCATTGTATGTTTCAAAAACACTTGGAAAGTGCCCTGATGTTCTTGTCAACATTTCTATCTGCAAAAACCTCACTTACTTCCTCATGTCCTCTGATTAAACAAACTTCTCCCATCATAGAAGAATTCCCCATAAAACTCTCTTTTTCCAATTTCCCTTCACCAAGAATGCGTGTATTGGGGCTACCCTGACAAACAGGACTTCTGGGGAAATGCATTCAAAATGATGAAAAGCAGACTTCCTGCAAAGGCCTCATTATAAATGACATCATATTGTTACACAAACAGTGGATATACTGCAGTGAAGCAGTGAAGAATTAGAGCAGGCCTAACTGGGTAGAGTAAATGAGTTGAAGTGGTACATTTTGGAAAGTGCTGTTTTACACAAGACGTTTTGTAGAGGAAATACAGTAAGCCAAGGTGACTTTTTGAGAAAGTTCTTCAAGGCTTTACTACCTCACAGGAGTTAGGGCAGAAAGGAGAATAAGGGCAGAAAAGGCAGAGAGAAAAAAGAGGTAGGTCTTACTTATCTTCTCTTAGAGCAACGGGTAGGGGCCAGTTCAGAAGATTGCAAATCAGAGCCACATGCTGAATCAATAAACTTGCGTGAACCAGCGAGAGGAGAGACCCTAGTTGATAAGTAACCTTGCGGGTACCTCCACATAAACCATATTCATTGCCCCACGGAATGGCTACATGTGAATCTCAAGTTGGGAGGAAGCATTAACCTCATTTAGTTTAATAAATTTAATTGTAATGAGACATCTCATTTTGTATTAACATTAATGAGACTCCCACAACTGGTTCTCTGGACCTTTCATTAGAGGGTAAGGGATTTAACTGACAATTTAACTTCTTACCCACCTGAGCAGGGAAATCCATGTCTACCTACCAGCCAAACATATCAATCCCAGAAGGTTTTTGAAATTGAGTCATTTCCTATTTCATAGCTGCATATGCTTTCTCTCCAATTAGGGACCTCTGTGGGGATTTTTTTTTTTTTTATTGCCTTAGGACTTCATCCAGGTATCTATCTGCACCCATACAATGAAGAGACTGGTTTTCGTATGCGTTTAAGAAAATCAGTCTTATTACTGAACCACACAGCAGCTGAGGGGAGGACAAAGTCCCACTCACCATGGAAGAAAAGCACATCATTTGTATTTAGAATCACATCGATCTGGAGTCATCTCTCACTTTTATTCCTTATTAGCTGTATGACCGTGGGGTAGTACCTCTACGTCTCTGACACGAAGGGCTTTTTGTTTTTGTGGTTAGTCAATGCAAATATTTCTCCGTACTGTCACACACACGCAGCCCCCCTTCTGATGAAGCCCCTAAGACATTTCCGCAACAAAGAGAATCCCATGTCCCTCAATTATGACCCAGAGTGTGGGTAATGGACTGAGTAATTAGAGATTAAGGAAAATGGGAGTTTGCAAACCAAAGTGAAGCAAGCTGCACAGACACAGGACTCTTAGTTCCCCCTCAAGGCTATAGATTAACTCTGGAGTAGTGTATTGTCCAGATGTTTTATAGGACTTTGACCCCCCAACAGATGGGTTACCTCCTGACCACAAGCACACAGGTTATTAGCAGACTGGGTGGACCTAGAAAGACTGATTAACTACGAGCCCTGAAACGGTCACGTCACCTCACCACTGCCCATCAGAAGATGGGCATCATCTGACCACACACCGTGCAACCCTTTTCTTTCATTTTGCTCTTAAAAGACCTTTGCATAGAAGCAAACGTGAAATTCGGGACCTTGGCCATTAGCCGCTCGTTCTCCTCGCAGGGCGCCCTGCAGTCAATACCCAGTGTCTGTCACTGCATCCTGATGTCAGTTAGACTTTGCTGCGCATCAGGTGAGTGGACCCAGGTTTCTGTGGCTGAGGAACAGTGCCTTGCAGGAGTTTATGCGATGAGGCAATAATGTATATGCATGTCCACCAGCTCGGCAGTCTAAAAGTATGCATTTTCACAGCTTTATGGGGGCAATGAGGTCAGAACATGCGTTTCATAACACGACAATCCTTCATAGTGTTATGAAACAGGTCGAGGCTTCGGGCGAGGACTCAGGGCACTTTTGAATTACCCGTGGGGCGTTTTCTTGTTTCAATTCTACTTTTGGGTTGTATCTGTGGCGAATTTTCTGACCGCGCGCCGTTGCAGCCCGACGGGCGAGCGCCCTGGGCCCCCTACCACCACCCCCTGCACGGCGTGTTCTGCAAACTTTGAGGCGCTTGGGAGAAAATGCAGATTCCGACTGCGCAGATGTGGGGTGGGGCCTCGGTTCCGCACGGCCAGCCGGGCGGCTCGGGCTGATGCCGGCGCGGCCAGCCGAGCCCTGCGCGCCGTGCCTGCAGCGGGCAGCTCCTCTCCGCACGGTGCCTGCAGCGGTGCCCGCCGGCTCGAGGACCGGCAACCAGCCGGGCTGCAGCCGCTGCGCCCCAAGGGCGCGCCTCCGCCTCTGGCACCCGGACGCCGCCGGACACAGCGGGCAGAGACTCGCAGCGCCGGGCCGCCCACCGCTAGCCCAGCGCGGCAGCGGCGGCCAGGACCCCGGCGCGCAGACCCGGAGCAGCGCCGGCCCGAGGCGCCCGCCCGCCCGCACGGGGTCCCGGAGCACCGCCCCACGCGCCCCGCCGTGCGCGCCCCGAGCGCCGTGGACGCCGCGGACCCTCCCCGCCGCGCCGCGCCCGCCCGCCCGCCCGGGGGTCCCGGGTTCGGCCCTCACGGCCGCGCCGTCCCCGGGCAGCCCTCGCGGGAGGCGGCCCTGGCTACCCACCCAGAAGGAGGCCGTCCATGTCAAAGAGCAGGTGGGTCACTGGCCGCAGCGGGAGCACGGGCGCCGCCATTGCGTCGCCGCCTACGCCGGGTAGGGGCGGACAGGAGGCGCGCGCCCGTCGTCCCGCGCACGCGCGCTCTGGAAGCCTTGCGCGCCGCAAGCCGCTGTGCGCACGCGCGATTCGGGCCTCGTCGTAGCCGCGGTCCGAGCCGCGCACGCGCGTGCGCGCTCCTGGTCACCCAACAACCCCACCCCCTCGCGGGCCTCAAGCCGCTGTGCGCAGGCGCCCTGTTACCTCTCCGGGCCTTCTGAGCGGCTTCCTCGCACGCGCCCTCCAGTCTTGCCGGGACGCTTAGGGGGCAGCCCTCGTGCCATCAGCACGTGTGCAGCCGTGTGCCCCTAGGGGTGGAGTCTTAGGGGTGGGGATCGTCCGAGGCCGGAGGGTGTGCAGCCCCCGGGACCTCCCCCGGGCCAAAGCTGATAGGAAAGGGCGACAGAACAAGAATTTCTGGCCTGCCTTGCTGTACCCCCGCGTAGCTCATCTGCCTTCGCTTGCTCTGAATTTTCTTCCTTTCCCAGCCTTTCTGAATGCAACTTGAAAAACTTTTTTTTTGCGAGGGGTGCGGGGGAAGATGTTCGATTTTGTTACTCTCAGAAATACATTTTTGGTCCCTGTACCTATTGAGTGTCTTTTGGCGTTGCATATGCATATTTAAGCATAAGGATAGGACCTCACAATAAGCAGATGTAAGGAAAGTTCCAGAGACGGGAAAATGTTTAAAATATTTCCAGTCAAGTGCATCAAGTGTGCGCTGGGCCATGCCTGGACTCAGCAAGCGTATCGATGAGGAGACTGGACCTCTGTCTACCTCAGGATCCTCATGGGGAAAATGGGGCTGTCCAAGGAGACAAGGTGGGTCTTGGTGCTAGCAAATTGTGTTTGCTTCATTTATGTCTTTTTGTAGCTGTTCTTGTAAGAGACTAACCCTTGTTTAGTGTTGTGGTGATTTCCCTTTGAGGACACCGCACCTCGGAGAAGGCAGTTTATCAACCAGTTAGTAATGGGACTGTGATGTAAGGCAGCAAGGCTGCGGTAACAAAGTACCACCAGCTGGGTGGCCTCAGCAGCAGAGTGGGTGGTCTCCCAGGTGGGCAGCCTCAGCAGCGGAGTGCGTGGTCTCCCAGGTGGGCAGCCTCAGCAGCAGAGTGCGTGGTCTCCCAGGTGGGTGGCCTCAGCAGCAGAATGGGTGGTCTCCCAGCTGGGTGGCCTCAGCAGCGGAGTGCGTGGTCTCCCAGGTGGGCAGCCTCAGCAGCAGAGTGCGTGGTCTCCCAGGTGGGCAGCCTCAGCAGCGGAGTGCGTGGTCTCCCAGGTGGGCGGCCTCAGCAGCAGAGTGCGTGGTCTCCCAGGTGGGTGGCCTCAGCAGCAGAGTGCGTGGTCTCCCAGGTGGGCGGCCTCAGCAGCAGAGTGCGTGGTCTCCCAGGTGGGTGGCCTCAGCAGCAGAGTGCGTGGTCTCCCAGGTGGGTGGCCTCAGCAGCAGAGTGCGTGGTCTCCCAGGTGGGTGGCCTCAGCAGCAGAGTGCGTGGTCTCCCAGGTGGGTGGCCTCAGCAGCAGAGTGCGTGGTCTCCCAGGTGGGTGGCCTCAGCAGCAGAGTGCGTGGTCTCCCAGGTGGGTGGCCTCAGCAGCAGAGTGCGTGGTCTCCCAGGTGGGTGGCCTCAGCAGCAGAGTGCGTGGTCTCCCAGGTGGGTGGCCTCAGCAGCAGAGTGCGTGGTCTCCCAGGTGGGTGGCCTCAGCAGCAGAGTGGGTGGTCTCCCAGGTGGGTGGCCTCAGCAGCAGAGTGCGTGGTCTCCCAGGTGGGTGGCCTCAGCAGCAGAGTGCGTGGTCTCCCAGGTGGGTGGCCTCAGCAGCAGAGTGCGTGGTCTCCCAGGTGGGTGGCCTCAGCAGCAGAATGCGTGGTCTCCCAGGTGGGTGGCCTCAGCAGCAGAGTGCGTGGTCTCCCAGGTGGGTGGCCTCAGCAGCAGAGTGCGTGGTCTCCCAGGTGGGTGGCCTCAGCAGCAGAGTGCGTGGTCTCCCAGGTGGGTGGCCTCAGCAGCAGAGTGCGTGGTCTCCCCGTTCTGGAGACCAGAGGTCTGAACTGAAGGGTCAGCAGGGCTAATGCCTTCTGAGGTCAAGACAACAGGACGTGTTCCAGGCCTCTCTCCTTGCGTTGTGCATGGCCATCTTCTGTCTATGCATCTGTTTTTGTGTGCAAAGTTCCCTCTATAAAAACACTAGTCATATCGGATTGACCACCCACCCTCATGACCACCTTTTAATTCGATTACCCATATAAAGATGCTATCGTAAACAGGGTCGTGTTGTGAGGTATACTTGGGTTTTGGACTCCAACGTACCTATTTTGAGGGTTGACCCGTAACAGATGGGCTCCGCAGTGATTAATGAGGCCTCCCGACGCCAGCGCTCACCTGTGGCAGCCTCTGCAGTTCTGCATCCCAATTGCTTTCCACTCTCTGGAAACGAATGGAACTGTTCTTTCTTTCTCCGCTTGTAACAACGCTGTACTTCCGCTGAGTTCTCAGATAAAAGAAGTATTTTTTAAAGGGAGAAAGAACCAGGAGTAAGAATTTGAAATGCAGGGAACCTAGGAGCCATAGTTGATCTGAATGTCGGGGATACTTGGCTCCTTAGAGGGAACTTGGGGACCTGTCCGGGTTTTGAAGCTTTCTAGAGATTTGCTGCAAAAGTAAGTGTACACATGTGTAGGCGATGAAGGTGTCAGACATGTTGGTACAGACATATTTGGAGAGGGACCCCCATGTCTTGCTTTTCAGCCACTAGCGCTCTCGGCTCTTGGAAGAGAAGCCAGTTTGTTCACTTACCCGCTGGGAATCCCCCTAGAAACCTTGGCTGAACCGACAAAACCACCTGTCACTTGCCAAGAGATGCATTCCGGACCTTGTGGACTTCTCCCCACAGATGTGAAAAACATGGCTCAAATCATTTTTTTAAAGTCATTTTAACAGCACTCCTCAGACACACCTCTTGCATACAATGGAAGACACCTCTTTACTTGAAAAAGAAAACAAACAACAACAGCAATAACAAAATGCCCAGAGTATTTTAATGTTTGTTCATTACAAGCATGAATGGAAAAAAAAAAAAAAAAACAAGAAAATGTTTCAATTAATCTGGTTACTGCAGCAGGAACCAGATGCCCTTTAGGTTTTCATAATTCTACCAGCAGTCAGAGATGAATACAGAGTCAAAGCTTCAATGAAGACAGAGGATGTGTTTCCTTCCACAAATGACAATTTAGTTTTGCAAAACTGCATTTTTCCCATGGGGCAATCGGTTCCTTTTCCTGACAACTTAAAATGCATCATTCACGAGTAATGGCATAATAAAAAGATGATCCTTTCGCATATGACATGTAAACATAAACATGCACTTCTTATGAAAATTAAGTCTGTACACAGTCTTATTTCAGCCTCCTCATTTTGCTGTGTTGATCCTTCTAAATGTCTGCTCTATGTGTTGTATTTGGAAATCTGCTTGTAGCCTGAGTTATCTGGAAGCAGTCCCAGCCCTGCCGTTGACCCTGAGCAACCCTGAGTCCCTTCTTTGTTCTGTGACCTGGTCCCATGGAATGTGAGGGTGACGAATGATGCCCTTCCTGCAGGTTAACCTTGCTACCAGCACTGGGCCCAGAGGGGTATGTTGAGTCAAGACCCAAGGAATACACACACACACACACACACACACACACTCTTATCATGCTGTGTATTTATATACTTCATACATACTTATTTATATTCCTTGTGTATGGATACACACATAAGCATAAAGTATATAAATTCACATATTTTTTCTAATTAATAATTTCACACTGCAAATAGCACACAATAAGAAAAACATACACACCTGCAACCTCTGAAGTGCGCCCTAAGGTCGCGAGCGGTCTGTCAACTTCAGAGACTTGTAAATTCATTGTTGATCTTTCTGATGAGAGACCCTTACTAAGAGTGTATCAGTTTGCTGGACTGCTGGAACAAAGTATTGCAGCCTGGAGGGCTTAAACCACAGACATTTGTTTCTCACAGTTCTGGAGGTTAGAGGTCCAAGGTCATGGAGCTGGCAGACTTGGGACAGCGGGCTTCTTGGTTCATGAATGGCTGTCGTCTTTCTGCTGTCTGGTCTTGCAAGGGTGCTAATCCTATCATGCGGCCTCCACGTTCATGACCTGTCACACCCTAATAACCTTCCTATGATATGGTGAATGATAATAAATATATATGTGGTCTTACTCCCATTTTACGCAGCTCCTAAAACTCTAGGAATTTCCATGGTGAGGAAAGAGATGAAGATGTCTTTTGTTATATGAATGAGGTAACTTTTGGAAAGCCAGTAAGGATGGGAGCTGGTTTCTAGGGGAACCCAGGCACAGGGTTAGAGGGTTTTAAACTTTCAGTCTTGCCCAGAGACCTTCAGGGAGTGGAGAGGGGCTGGAGGTACCATCGATCCCCAGTGGCCAATGATTTAATCAACTGTGGCTATGTCATGAAGCCTCCGTAAAATCCCAAATGAACAGGTCTGGAGAGCTTCTGGGGGGTGGACATGTGGAGGTGTTAGGAGAGTGGTGCCCTCCAAGAGGGCATGGAAGCCCCACTGCCCTTCCCACACACTTTGCCCGGCACATCGCTGACCCGTGCATGATCATCTGTGTCCTTTATCATACCCTTTCATAATAAGCAGGTTAAGAGTCAATAAACTGCTTCCCTGAGTCCCGTGAGCCATTCTAGTAAATTAAAGCCAAGGACAGGGTCCTGGGAACCTCCTCAATCCAGAGCTGGTGAGTCAGAAGCACAGGGGACAGCCTGGACTTGGGTTGGCATCTAAAGGTTATGGGGGTGGGGGGCAGTCTTGCAGGGCTGGGCCCTTCCCCTGTGGGGTCTTGAGTAGAATTGTGGTATATATACACCCATATAGGGAATTGCTTCGTGGTGTTGGAAGACCCAGGAATCAGAATTGGCATCAGAATCACAGTCCCAGAGGCCTCCCGTCTGAATGCCATCCCACTGGGGGTAAGGACGTCAGCCTGTGAATGTTGGGAGCCACCTTCTGTCCATCACCGAGTGTTAGGTTTCTTTCCAGCTCTGCTCTGTGGGATCCTTACTTGCTTCTGTTTTACATGGAGTGACCGGGTTACCCTGCTGTGCCCATGGCCTTCGCAGGAGACAGTGCATTTGGGGACCGAAGTGGATGTTGCTGTAACAAACCTCCAAGGTGTCTCTGAGGGCTGGAAATGGAGGTCCTACAACAGGTGTCTGTCCCATGTCATCTGCGTGGACAGCTTTCCTGATAGGGTGGGCCTAAGCGTGACCCACAGGCAGCTTCCCAGAGGGACAGCAGGTGGTTCAAGGACACTCTGTGGGCTGACCCATGGGGTTTAGCAGGTAGGTAGAGGAACAAGTAAGTGCCTGTTTCAGAATCCTGCAGGAGCCATAGGAAAACCGGTGGGGGTTTGTCCCCTCCGTGGCACTGTTCATATTTTGGGTAGCTGAATTGTGTCCTCCCAAATTGACACGTTCAAGGCCTAGTTCCTGGTGTATCTCAAAATATGGCTGTGTTTGGAGATGGGGCCTTTCAAGAGGTGGTTAAGGCAAATGAGGTCAGTAGGGTGCACCCTGATCCCAGGGGACCGGTGCCCTTATAAGAAGAGATGAGGAGGTGGGGACACAGACACGGACAGAGGGACGACCCCGTGAGGACACAGGGAGAGGACGGCGTCCACACGCCCAGGAGGGAGGCTCAGGAGGCTCAGCCCTGCCCACACCTGGACCTCGGGGTCCAGCCTCCAGGACGGTAGACATGAACATGTGTGGTTTAAGGTGCCTGGGCGGGCCCTCGGTATGGCA